TGACCCAAAACATACAGCAAAAGCTACCCAAGAGTTTCTCAAGGCAAAGAAGTGGGATGTTATTCAATGGCCAAGTCAGCCACCTGATCTCAACCCAATAGAGTATGCTTTTCACTTACTGAAGTCAAGACTGAAGGCAGAAAGACTCACAAACAAGCAGCAGCTGAAGGCAGTTGCAGTAAAGGCTTGGCAAAGCATCTCGAGGGAGGAAACTCAGCATTTGGTCATGTCCATGGGTTCCAGACTTCAGGCAGTTATTGACTGCAAAGGATTTTCATCCAGGTATTAAAGGTGATCCTTATGTTTATCATGATGTTGGTTTGTTCCATTACTTATGAGCCACCAACGATGGGGTGTGTGTATGCCACTGGCTGTACTTCCTGAATGGTTAGTGCCTCACTTTTGTCAAACCCCTTGAATGACAGCTGAAAGTCCTGACTTCGCTCCCATCTGGGTATGTTTCCTTTCAACTTCAATGTGGTGGTGTACAGAGGCCAGAGGCCAAAACAGTTATCCTTATTCCAATAGTTCTGGTCCTGACTATAAAAGGAGGAGGATTAGTTGAGTTTGTAAGAATTGTGGGGAATGTTTCTTTACATTTCCAATAAAATGTCTTAATATCCAAAAGAAGCAGTGGTGAAACCTTAAATTTTAAAAACAAACACTTTCAACACCATTTTGTTCTGTTTCTAATTTCACTTTTTGGGTATGGCGTTAAAGTCTCTGGTAACATCTCAGCTTTAGTCATTTGGATGAAGCAGATTTGTCTCAAATCCACTTCAGACCTTGGTATGTGATGAAATCTATCACTCTGATTGACAATCTATGTCACAGATTAAACTTGGGAAGCTTGTTACACAGTTAGCAGAAAACAGTTTGCCTGATTTATATACAGTTGCAATGTTTATCTCAATCCAAAGGCAGTGGAACATGAAGAGGAACCTGCTTATTATGCCTAAACTAGATCTATGTCTCTGAGCTATGACAGGGCTAGAGACACTCTTAGGGAACGTATTTAGGACAAAGAACAACAAAATGATTTAGGCAGAGTACCTGAAAATTTCAAAACCTAGAAACTTAAATAATAATTATTATTCCTGAATAACAAGAACCAGCCTGTTACCTTACTATTTTAATTGTGCCCAAACTCTAGGAAACAGAGTATGCTTGAATGCCCTGCCATCTGCTTTGTTAGATGTAGATTTAATACTGTAGTGGCCTTTTTAATGAATGGAGTTTTCCCCTGTGGTTCTAGAACCACTGAAATGATTGAGCATATTATCCTGTATTATTTTTAAGAGATATATGAAATGATTTGATTTTGCATTTTTATTGTCTGTTTTTGGACATGAAAATGATTTTTTTTCCTTTATAAGCAAGATAGTAAATAGCTAATAAAACCAACAAAAGATTATTGCAATTTGGCTATCATCTGCAATTTGGCTATGTATTCTGCACCCACACTTCATGCAGCTTAAGTATTGGTATTTTTGTCGCTGGTCTGGAACTGCAATAAAGTTACCAACTTGCTTATGAACTCAATTAAAATCAATACCAGGGTTGCTTTATAGCCACTTTATAATCCAAAAGTTGAGTAATACTATGAAAATGTTCTTACCATATTATTACATACCATGTTCTTGCTATATAGTCATTGAAACTATTTAAATCAACATAAGAATTCTATAATAAATCATATCTTCAATTACCTTTGGTTTTTTGTTCAGCAGCCTGAAAGACAAAAACAACAAAATGATCAGTCAGCAGCCAGATTTTTATTGAAGACAACTGTGGGGAAAAAACTTGTAGCCCCAACAATCAGTAATATCATACATAAAACATGATCACCATGTTTATATGGTCTGTCCAATTGCTGGTTTAATACTTCATGTGATTTTGTAGGAAGGAAGATCAGAATAACAGCAGAACATCTGAAGATTTTTTTTAATGTCAGCCTGTATGTTAATATTATATGTACATTTCATGCCTAATTACTTTTATTGTATTCTGTTTTAGTGTTTTAATAGTATTTTAATTATATTTCAACTGTGGCTTTAATTATACTTTTACTATTAGTGGCTTTTGAACCATTGTAACTATATGGAGGAATGGATTTCTCCACTTGTTATATAAATATGGAAGTGCTTTCAGAACCAATTTAGTGTCATGAGGACAAGCAAGAATGAATGTTGACTCCTGACTCTCTAGCCTAATGGTATGCAAGCTTGGGTCTTTCAGAAATCTTTGACTGTAAACCTCACAAACCCAAGAATTAAACAGTTAAAAAACACCAGGTTGCTCACTTCTCCTTCAGCATATGTCGTATTTTATACATAACCCCATTCAAAAAGCATAGGCTCAAAATATTTTTATTACAAATAATGGAAGAAACACAGTAAACACACAGGTAATTTATACTGGCTTTAGTTTATAGTGATCAAAATAAACTGTAGCTTTGACACTAGAAAGTAATTGAATGTACAGTACATGTGCTAAAATGATATATTATGAAATAACTTACTTCAGTATATTTATATAGAACTCTTCACATTAATTATACATGTATTTAAATAATTATACAAATTAAGCTATAAAAAGAATCTAGAGTGTCTATGATTTAATTAATTTAGGTAATGTACATTAGTGGGTATGCATGTGTGTGTATATGTATATATATGTGTATATACAAACACAAAGTATAATTTACAACCATTCTAGTGTGACACAGAAAGAATTCAACTATTTAAGTATCTCATTAACATTTGAATGAACTGATATTAAACATATTAAATACTGTAACTTATAATGGGCATGGTTCAGACAAGTATTTTAGCGACGTGAAGGACTTGAACATATTCAGAGGAGTTTTGGATTCCCTCTGCTGCTTTAAACATTTCAATACCGTATTACTGTGAATAGAATACAGAACAGTCTTCTAAGAGAAGTCTGTTTCCTTCTCTGTACCTGCCTTGAACAATTTTATTTAAAAAGGCTGTTTTACATGTCTGATTTTATCATGCATTCTGATAGTTTAAATTGCTACATTTTCACTTTAGTTTATTGCATTATGTTTATTATTTTATATTGTATCATTATTTTTGTAAGTTACCATGTGTATGCCAATAAAAAGAAAGGAAATTACAGTAAATAATTATAGTAAATAGTTTTACTATAATTACCTCCATTACCACCATCACCATCCCACCACCAGCTGCTTCAATAACAGTTTGCATAGGAGCTAATGTGTGACAAGCTCAAGCTCCAAGTTTTAGTATATACATACTACTATATATATACTACATATTGTATATGGAACTATTTTGTACAGTTCATTGTAGTCCTCTAGCAGAACATAGCAAAGTTGGGGCTGGGGAGTATGTGGAAGTATGGGTCCTAACACTTCCACTGCAAGCATCACCATTGTTCTGGAGGATTCACCAACACTTTGTGGTGGATTGCCAACCAGGACAGAAGGCACTGATGAAGGTCATCTATTCTTCCATTCAGCCAGCAAAAATATTCCACTGGCTTAACCTCATATATAACTGAAACAGCCTGTCATTTCAATGTGAGAAAGAACAACCCGGATTTGTTGTTCCATCCCCATTAAAAAAAAGAAAAAGACGAGGTTATAAAATAATGGAATAGCACATATTAGGTTTTTGTTTTCTATTTCTCCATAGTTAGAAAACCATTCTATAAGATGATTAGATATAGATATCAAAAGGACACATGGAACTTTTATTGGTTATATAGAAGGAGAATTTTATCTTCCATCTACTTCTAATAACCAGTGACAGAAGGTGTATTCTTGGCACAATCTGTGCAACATGTTAAATAATGGAATAAAGCATATTATTAAAAAGAGCAATATTTTTAAAAGAGTAAGAAACTATTAATCCTGATATCAATTAGTATTTCTGGGGGGGGGGAGCAGGAACTGGAAAAAATGGCTCTCAAGTCTGATCAAGTAGTGTTAATGCCCATCTCTGAGATTCTGATTTTTTTTTTTTTTACCTGCACTCAGTTGTTACCGACCCTGAGCCTTCAAGCCTGTAGGAAAATCAATGTCACTGTATCAAACCCCAAATGGCAGATAAAAGAAGGAGCGCAGAGGTGCTTTAGCACATTGGGAGTAATGGTCTACTTGGCAGTTAAGAACTATGCAGTAATAGGTTGTCAGTTCTAAGTAGCCTAGTTTCTTCAGCTAGCTTTGATCAGCATTACTTGAATCTGAACGGAGTTCAAGTTCTTCCAGTATTTAAGCTTCCGCCTGAGACCAATCAAATACTAAAATAATGTTTATGATATTTTAATTTTCAGTCTTGGCTTGAAATCTTGTACAACTTTCTGAAAAGCCTAATCTCTGACTGGACCTGACAGTTTTACTATTAACACTTCATCTTGTTGACTTAAATTCTGGACTAGACAGGAACCATGCCATTGTCTATAGTAAGTACTATTTGACTCGATTGTTTGATTCCACTTCTTACCCCTATTGTGTGAACATGGGAATGTGATTGTCATTTTTAAAAATCTGAAAGATATACCAGACATTTCTACAGAAAATTATTATTTCCTGCCCTTAATCAAAATAGTGCCTTTATCTAAATACTACAGAAGCTGAAAATTATAAAAGCTGAATTTCTAAAATAGGAAAACAAACTCATCTGTGCTCGGTATGTTTTTCTGAAAAACTTTTATTACCTGGAAAGGAATATTTGTTAATAAATAAAATCTATTAATTACAGGATTTTATGAAATATTACAAGCAACATAACTTGTAAGTTTCCAGGCTGTTTTCATGTTGCTGAAATATGTAATTCACCTGGGAGTTACTTCAGATAGTAATATTTAGCTACTGTTCATGGACTGCTTAAACTGTGCTTTAATAAAAGCATTTGATCAGGCCAGGAGGAGATCTGCATATAACAGAATACAGTGGTCTGAAGAAGTGAAAATAAGATCAAACTTAGGCATAATGTTTGATAATTTTTATATATGCTGGTAACACCTAATTAAACTATTTACAAAAGTATTTTTTCCAAGTCATACTAATGAAATTGCCTAACAGTGTTAAAATTATATAATTGATATCCTGACAAACCTTTTTCTGAGCACCTTCCTTCTTTTTCTTTTCTTCCTGCTTTTTCTTTTTCTTTTCTTCCATCAAATGTTCCTCTTCTTGTGTTTGTTCTTTTTCCCTATTTATAAAAGAGAATTGAACCTCTTTTAGAGAGTGATATAAATAAGGGAAGCCTGATTTACAGTATACACCAAAATTATACACCACCCCACAAATTTCAATTACTTCCATCAATAGAATTTAGATTAATGTAAATTAACAATCATATATGAGACACTTCTTACATGTTACACATGCTGTCATTTGTTTTACCTGCAGCTTACTAACAGAACACTAACAGAAACATTATAAAATCAGGTCCAACTACACCAATCTGTTTAAAAAAGAAAGATATAAGGCAGGAATGGGCATCAGACTTAGTTGCAGTGCTTTCTAAATCAAACCAGGGCACTTCACATTGCTTCTGTGGCTCTCAAAATTAATGTAGCTCTAAATGTACCTCCAATGTATCTCTAAAACAACTAGAAGAAATCAAAAGGGCTATGAGCAATTCAGTCGTTCTGAGGACTGCAAAAAACTGACTCTATGTCTAACCCCGCTTTCCAACATTATATTTAACTTTCATTTGTACATAAAACTTCTGGGCGGGGAGAAGAAAGAGACTAATGGAATTGATTGACAAATTAATTGCCTAATATAGGGAACAAGAACTCAGGAGGTTTCTGATCACACTCTTTTGAGAAGTTGAAACAAATATTCTTTGCCTGTGAATCTTATTTACTTTTCCCGAAATTAAAAAAAAAAAAAACAACTCGTAATTTTTAGAGGCTTCTTGCCAATGGGTACCCATTACACATTCTGCAATTTTTATTGATTGATTTATCATATTTATACTGCTGCCCATCTCACAAAAAAGTGACTCTGGGCGGCATACAACACTCAATTAAAAAACCCATAAATACTTATAAAATAATTATTAAAACTATAAAAACACACAACAGGAGGAGATGATGTAAGGAAGCCATAGTAAGCCATAGTAAGGAAGTCATTGCAAAATCTCCCTCTCATATACCCTGTCTACCAAACAGAAAAAATGGATTAATAAACTTCTCTCCCTATCCATTAAAAACTCCCTTTGCACAAAGCATCCCCTTACATATTTGCTTGAAACTGAATCAGTTTGATCATCAAATTATATTAAAAAAATTAAAAAGGCACAATTACTCCAAAGCCTACCATTATTTTTCTGAAACTGATCAGATTCCATCTTCTTAATGGTATCTACTATCTTAATACTACTATGATAGACCTGAGTAACATGAAAGTTTCCTTCCTTCCTTCCTTTTTTTTTTTTTAATTTGTTCCCTCAGCTGCATCCAGTAGTATAATTTACAGAATTAGAGGTTATGTTCCAGTTAGCTGTTTGGGCCTGATTCTTGTGCTGAATATAAAGGCCTAATTTAAAAAACATGAAACAAAAACAATTATAAATTGAGATGGGGTGGAAGTCAAAAATCTTGACAGAAATCATAGCCAATTCCAGTGTGCCAGAAATGTAAATCTTACTGGAAGTGTAAGTGAAATAAAAATCAGAATGTCTTCACTGTAATTAGAAAAAGCTAACTGCAAAATGACAAAAAAAAGGGGGGGGGGCTGTAGGAAGGAAAGTGGATTAGAAAATATTTTTAAAAACAAGCACACATTCATGCTTTTTGTAAGCTCTATCCAATAGAGTATAGGTAATCCTCACTTAACAACCACAATTGGGACTGGAATTTAGGTCACTAAGCGATGCGGTCATTAAGCAAATCATCATGTGACTGGACCCAATTTTACAGCCTTCTTTGTGGTGGTCATTAAGCAAATCAATGCGATCATTAAGTGAATCATGCAGTTCTCCATTGATTTTGCTTGCTGGAAGCTGGCTGGGAAGGTTGCAAATGGTGATCACGTGACCCCAAGATGCTGCAACCATCGTGAGTGCTGGTTGCCAAGCACCTGGATCACAATCACATGACTGTAGGGCTGCTGTGATAGTCATAACTTTGGGCACTGGTTGTAAGCCACCTTTTTAGCATTGTCGTAATTTTGAATGGTCACTAAACGAATGATCATTAAATGGGGATTGCCTGTACTATCATTCCTTTGACAGAACATCATCTGCCAGAGGACTGGATTCTTTGTTTCCCTCCTCCTATGCAGTTCCCAAACCTACTTTGTGAATTATCCTTACTCAAAGTCTACTGCACAGGAATGGTCTATTGACTCTGAGGCATACAGTCCCTTATTTTTAAATTTTGAAAAACCATTTTTATTCTATATTATTACAAAGAATGTTAAAACTATACTTGTTTGAAAATAAGCAAACATTTTATTACCAAAAGATCAAGTTATAAACTAATGTTGGCAGAAAGACATTCCTAAAAGAAATGATTCCCCAGTCTATACTACAAAATGGGGGAACCCCCAGAGCAGATTTCAGAAAGAACATGGGACCTTTATAGGAAATAAATAAATCTGCATTTTCAGATAGAATTCAGAAATTATACATATTGACAACTTAATTCATGACTTACAATCTAGTTAATTTAAATAATTTTGATTTAATAATTGTCTTTGGATTAAGCTAAATCTGCAAAGTATGTTAAATTTAAAAATTTCTGCACAGTATATTGCCATGCTGCTTTTCAACAGGCACAGTTACAGTTCATTTCCCAACTCTTCCCTGGCTAGTAACAAAACTGTCTCTCTCATGGGCACTGTGCTAGAGTTTGTACATTGGCAAAATTGAGAAAATAGGCAGTTTATCATTCTGCCAATTTCACTCAGTGTCAAATATCCAGGGTACAAAATCTTGACCTGTTGCAATAGCAGATGAAACTTCTGACCCTGTACCACAGCTCTGAGCAACCAAGATCAATAAACTGTGAATTATGCTGTTATACTGGCAGCAGCCATGAACTTTACTCTAAATAGGGATTTAAAATATACAGTATTCAAAACTCCATATCTCTCTCTATTCAATTACAGCTTGATATGAATCCTTTTCAAAGGGGAATATGAGCAATATACAAGGAAATACCTAATATAAAACAAACCACTATAAAGAAATTTTGATAAAGATTGTGTAGTTGAGAATTTTGGTCCCTGTATTCTTAATTGCATTCTTTTAATTATAAGAAGATGTATAAAATGCATTTTTTAAAAAAGCGTTAATACACTTGCACTCAAAGCGTTTGGAAGGAAATGGTTAACTCCCTTTAACTGTGGTTCTTCAAGTGATAGTTTATCAATTCATCTACACTACTTCTGTGTTACCCAGAACTTTCCAGAACTAAGATTTTGGAAAGAGCCTAGCTTCCCCCAAGTCAGCCAAATGAAAGGAAACACCACAGTAACCAATTCTTTTTCATCTTGATACATCTTGAAATGGCTGCTCTGCAGGACTATACAGCCACCAAGGCAGGTAACTAATATGATGACTTTCAGAACTGTTGGGATGGTATCACCTGATTTTTCAGGATTGCCTAAGCAAGAAAAGTCAATGATGGAAAGAATCTGATTGTTATATGTACAGGTAGTCCTCAGGTTATGATGGCAATTGGGACTGGGATTGCCATTGCTAAGCAATGCAGTTCTAAAGTGTGCATCATGTGACTGCATCACTTCGTGACAACAATCCGGCAGTCCAGATTGCCATTGTAACGCCAAGATGCATTAAGCGGGAAGCAGCAGGAGTCCCAGGTAAGGAGTGCTGGGGTGCAGCAGGGGGATGGAAGGGTGCAGCAGGGGGATGGAGGTTGCCACAGGGGCATAGGGGAGGCTGGGAGAGGGCTTGGGAGGCCCAGCTCAGGCTGTGTATCAGCACAGGAAGGCCAGGGAGACTTACCAGAGTGACTTGTGATCTTCCCTGCTGGCTTCCCCATTGACTCTGCTTGGGAGAAACCGGCAGGGAAAGTTGCCAATGGTGACCATGTGACTGCAGAATGCTGCAACTGGCATAAGTGCAAGCTGACTGCCAAGCACCCAAATTGTGATCACATGACCAAAAGGGTGCTGCGACGGCTGGAACTTTGAGGACCAGTCATAAGTACTGCTCGTTCAGCTCCATCACAACTTTGGTCGCTGAACAATTGGTCAGTAAGCAACAACTACCTGTAGAACATTACTACCTATGGCATAAATGGGTCCAGAAAAACAATCAGGGTAAGTGACTTCTGACTCAAGTTGGAAAGCAGAGGCAACCACAGACTCAAAAGATTTGGATGTGGTATGATAAGAATCAGTTATAAGTTCCAATCAACTAGAATATATTGGTTGATCAACACTGTGAAAAAAGTTTAAATATAATAGATATGGGGAAATGGGGGTGTTATCAAACGGAGCACAGGATACTAAAATCACTGACAGAAAAACCTTTATTTAAATAAAAGACAAACCTTGCTCTTTACAGAAAATAAAGGATGCTAGAATATACTCTAAATAGATATAAGAGCATTAGTATTTTTTTTCTAATTTTTTCCTGCAAATTTAACAAAATCTCTTTATTGTATGTATATGTATAAGTGTCTGTGAGTGACGTGACTGTTTGGTGGATGGCTTTCCGGATGCTAACAAAATCAACAGCACTCTGAACAACCACACTATGACATGGAAAGAAATATGACCCAAGTGCTCAATGCAGCACTATACAGTTATTTGTCTCTATGTTTAATATCCCACCATTATTTGTAGAAGTCAAGGTGGCATACACAATACTCCCTCTTCCTATTTTTCCCACAACTACTACTCTTGGGTGGTTGGTTGTGAGAGTATGATTGCCCAAGAGCATTGGGAGCTAAAGAAAAGTTAGTTTTGAAAGGGACAGACCAAGGCCAGCAGCCTCCATAAGCTATAATAATGTAGTCAAGTGAACTGAACCTTATCTTCAATATGATTCTCCTGTATAGGGGGATTGGTAAGAAGAGTCCCATAGAAAAGGGAAAACATCCCCAAGGAAGACACAATCCACTTTTCTCTGCTGCAGAAAATGTGATTCTGATACAAAGA